CTGTGTCCTTGCCCACATTCAAAAAAAGCCTATAAAAGGTACTAAGGGCATTTCATGGGGCCCCCTACTGACCCCGGCTCGGGGGAAGTGCCCGAGTGCTCGAATGGTCAGTCCGCCCCTGCTCCAGTAGCTTTCCAACACTAATGTTTTAAAAGCATGTGCAAGAAGAGACATGTCTCATGCTTCTCTTACAGCAGTTGGCTTATGAGAATTGCATTCAGTTGCAAAGAAACTACCAGGACTATCATATCCAGACTGCTGAAACAGACTTTCATCTCAAATTTCAATTTAAAGGTATTAGTAACAGGATAAAGAAAATATAGAACTTTTTATTTGCAGTCCATTGAAGATCAGTTTAGAAACAAGATTCCATATCTGCGTAGGTAGAAAAAAAGCTATAAAATAATAAAATGCATAAACTTGGATATTTTGCAGGCAAACAGGGATGGGATTCACCAACATGATGATGAGATTGGGTGCGGTAGTTGCCCCCTTGGTTATGATGACTAAAGCATACGTGCCATTTCTTCCCGTTGTCATTTTTGGAACAGTGTCCATTGTCTGTGGACTGCCAATTTTATGGCTACCAGAAACTCTCAAATGTCCTCTGCTGGATACAGTGGATGAAGTAGAAGCTAGGTGAGTACAATTAGATGATGTTTCTGATCAACCATGCCCCTTTATATCTTGTAATTAATGGTTAGGGCTCTTTTACACAGGCCTCCTAAACTTAGCATAATGTCCAGCATATTTCCTCCCCCCAGGCAGGCCAAGAGCAATGTATAGACTGTCATTAACATGATTTGCTCTATCATATATATGGCAGTGCTATTGTAAGTACGAGTACAGTGTACTTCTGGGGACAACTGTCTAAGAGGGGGATTTCCTCAGAAAGATATAACCTCCTGTTGCACCTCTGGGACAGGGAAGTGAAGGAAAACTTCCCCAATGATACATATACAGCACTAAATATACTGACAGGGGTACTAACCCTTCTCTACACTATAAAAAAACTAAAAAAAAAAAATGTTTGGGCTTTACGTATACTTTAAATCCACCCTCTATTACTAATGCTGTTTTTACACTATGTGAATTTTGGATGGTTACTGAGCAACCAGCCAAAATTCGCTATGTGGGTGAGCCTAATTGGCAGGTATTTAAAAAAAAAACATAACACATTTTTAATTGTATATTTAACAAACCAAAAGGTAGTACATAATAAAAGTTCATTGTCAAATGAGATGTATAGCCAAAGCTATTTTGATTATACTTCTGGGGTTCACAGGAGTGTAGTTTGTTATGCACTCCTGTAACCTGTTTTCAGCCTACAGAGGGCGAAAGCCTGCTGTCTGCTGTCGTCACTCAGCAGGCCCAGACTCAGGAAAGATCCCGACTTTACAGTCGGGATCCACCCAGATGCTTGGACCAGCAGCTGACTCAGCCTCTCAGCGAGCTCCTGGGAGACTGAGCCAGCCACTCCCACCGCCTCCACAGCCCAGCGCTCCAGCGAGCACTTAAGGGGCAGAGCAGAGAGCTGGTGAGTGACAGTCACTGGCTCTCTGCTCACTAAAGACTGAGAACTGAGTGATCAGTGGTCTTTAAGCACTCAGATCTTAGTCTTAAAAGCTATGGGGGAAAGATGCAGCATCGGAGGTGAGTATAAATGTTTAAGTTTAATATTTCGTACACCCATACTTCTCTTTTAAGGTTTACATACACTTTAAAGAAAACCTGTACTCTGAACTTCTAAATATAGGAAAGCCTGTGTCTCAAACTATGTGACAGCACACTGATGCTTGGTAATTGGTGCAATGCTGTCACATGAAGAAGGGAACAATCTTCAGCCCAGTGTAAGCTCCATCTAGAGCAGGGGTGGGCAAACTTTTTGACTTGAGGGCCGCAATGGGTTCATATATTGGACCCGGGGGCCGGACCCAGAGTAGATGAATGATGTGTATGTGTCATCCATAGTAAGTATAGTAATATTCCCCCATAGTAAGCATAATAATTAATCCCCCATATAGTAATTCATCCCCCATAGTAATTCGTCCCCCATATAGTAATTTGTCCCCCATAGTAATTCGTCCCCCATAGTAATTCATCCCCCATATAGTAATTCATCCCCCATATAGTAATTCATCCCCCATATAGTAATTCATCCCCCATATAGTAATTCATCCCCCATATAGTAATTCATCCCCCATATAGTAATTCATCCCCCATATAGTAATTCATCCCCCATAGTAATTCATCCCCCATATAGTAGTTCATCCCCCATATAGTAATTCATCCCCCATATAGTAATTCATCCCCCCATATTAATTCATCCCCCATATAGTAATTCATCCCCATAGTAATTCATCCCCCATATTAATTCATCCCCTATAGTACTATTCCCCCCCAAGTAGTAAGCCAAGTCCCCCCTGTGTCAATTTACTTACCTTTGCTCCGCGCGTTCCTCTCGCCGTGTTCCCGCGCCGTTCCGGTCTTCAGGGCGGACTGTGAGAGGAGCCTAGCTCCCCTCACGTTCGTCACGCTGCCCCACCTACACACATCCTGACAGCCAATGTATCCCGCGCCGTTCCGGTCTTCAGGGCGGACTGTGAGAGGAGGCTAGCTCCCCTCACGTTCGTCACGCTGCCCCGCCTACACACATCCTGACAGCTCCACGGGCCAGATTAAAAGGTCCGCCGGGCCGTATACGGCCCGCGGGCCATAGTTTGCCCATTGCTGATCTAGAGTGTCTTGGAGATTACACATGGTTGTCTTTCTTTACTTCTGATGGCTGGGAGCAAAGAAAAATGAGTTATGTGCTGTTGAGGAGGGGTACAACTGTTAATGCTTTGCCCTGTTTAATCAGTTTGCAGTTCACATCTGGGCATTATGTATCACGGGTAGAAATGGCATGATTTTGCCCACGATCTCAAAGCTCTGTGCATAAATGACAATGCACCACGTGTGTTCAGATGCCATTCATTTTAAATGGCAATTAAAACGTGGTACAGTTCTGCCAAAACTGATGCACAACGAATTGTGTTACAAACGCGGCAAACAGCATCTCGTAGAGCATGTCGCCCATAAGAAGCTCCTGCTCCTTTTTGGGTGACAAACCTATTGCAATGTGGTTTTCCATAATTGCAGCACAATTTATCATGTGACAATTGTGGCAGGACCACATTGCATTTTAGGTGCCATTGAAAATAAATGGCACCTGAACACACATGGTGTGATTTTCATTTTTGTTTTGGGATCGTGGGCAGAATTGCTCCCAAAATGCTGTACAAAATGCCCAAATATGAACAGAGGCAACTTCCTAGAACAATGGGCCTTTGAACTTTGTAGAAAATTTGACTACTCCAGGAAGAACCGTTTCCTTAGCACAGCCCCCTCCCTCCTAGCACATCATAGCCCTGTCCTGTTCTTGGAATGTACATTTACTATCTGTGCTGGCCCAGCTCCTCTGCCTCTCCCCTCTTCTCAATACAGAACCTTTTATGAAGCTGCCAGGGGTGAGGAAAGTGCAATACTAAACAGTGTCACTTGTTTGACAATTCTGTTTCTGCTGAGAGTGCTGAGATCACATGCAAGATAGTGGTGCCCAGCATCATTCGTAAAGCTTTACAGGTATGAAGCATGCATAAAAAACATTACATACTCATTTCCGATGTGATAGGCAGTGGGCAGATCAATAGGAACTGAGGGGGAACTAGTCTCTCAGAATCCCCATCAGGCTCTGCCCACTGGTGGTGTTTGGCCGCTTTTCATTGGTAGGTATGACACTGGCGGCCTAACCAATGAAGCTAATACGCATCACAATAATAAAGTATTAAGAATTACGAGTATAGCTTTTTTTTTCTATGTTTTGCATAGGTCGTATACTATACTTGTGTTTATGATAACACTGATGTATACCTGAGTATTGCCACACACAGCCATTCATGTTTATGGGAGGTTTTACACAGTATCTGGGCTTTCCTGCTGGGGGAAACGCTGACATTTATGATGCACAGACTCAGCCACCCGTGTGCAAGAGCCTAATCAGCATAACAGAAAAGCCAAGCAATAATAGTAACAAACCCGCAACCTATATCTCTCATTTGTCTTAAAAAGTTTACTACTGACATGCATGTTGGCTTTTCATTCACCCTAACTTCACATGTATCAGCTGGCAGGAATAAGCCAAGTGTCAAACATGAAGAGCTACAGTGAAAAAAACATTGATTTTAGAGAAATTGCTGAGAAAAACACACAGATTTACAGACTTTATTAGCAATCTAGTAAAGTAGTTTTCATGTCATGTCTGTACAACTATATTAAACATGTGCTTTTTCTGCTTTTATTTTTCTTCAGAGGCAAGAATGCTACCAGTAAAACCACAGAAAAAGAATCTGTATATGGTACCAAACTCTAGAAGACATTTATTTGATATCACAATGTTAAACTGCGTAATGAAGCAGCAGTGGGTGCCCTAATATTGTAGTCCATACCTGTTTCGCTACATCATGGTTAAAGATTCATTAGAACACCAGACACTGAAAGTGAGACATCAGACCTACCCTCCAGTTCAGATCTCCAAGTTTCTTTCATCTGCTGACATTTCTATATAATATAGATTTTCAGAATTGCAACAGAAAAACTAGTACTACTAACACATTCACTTTTTTACATGACCATGTTAATGGTTCTCATCAGACTTCTAGGAGCTATTTTTTTTTTCATTTTTTGGATGGATCTCATACACGATGGTAAAATAATCTACCTTCCTTAACACAATCTTTTGGATAGCTATTGGATTGTAACATAAACCATGATCATAAGAAAAATATGTAGGTGTCATTACTGATGACCTCCTTCTGAAAATGCTTGTATTAGATATCTTCATGACAATGAGGGTCATCTGCCCAAGGCTGTGGGTTGGAAGAAGTCATCAGTTGATAAGTAGATCCAAACATGTGAGCTGTCAAGCTAGTGGTCTGATATCTGCAGTGTTATCCCCTTACCAGGGGCGGACTGACAACTCATGGGGCCCCTGGGCAATAGGGGATCATGGGGCCCCTGTGTCCTTTCCCAAACTCAAAAAAGCCTATGAAAAAGGTACCAGGGGCATCTCATGGGGCCTCCTACTGACCCCAGGCCCTCGGGCAGTGCCCGAGTTTCCAAATGGTCAGTCCGCCCCTGCCCCTTACAATATCAAAGTGGCGAGTTGCCGCAAACTGAAAATAGCCACTCTGTTCTAGTGAGATCCTGGATCTGGAAGTTGACAATGACTTCATCAATTTGGCCTTTCAACCCTCCATCCATCAGTCAAGTTCCAGGAGATGAAGAGGCTGTGGCAGAGTGTACCCAACAGAAACCATATACTTAATGGCAGTGTAATGATGTGATTTTCTTTCCTGCAACCATTACTAGTCTAATACATGACCGAGTTATGGGAACTTTAAAGTCATCTGGTAAAGCAGGGGTCTCCAAAATTTTAAAACAATTGGCAAGTTTACTGTTCTACAGACTTTAGGGGGGCAGACTGTGGCCAGTGGGAGTAGAAAATTATCCAGCATCAGTGGGGTTAATTGATGCCTTAAACTTGTTAGTCAGTGGGACTAAAAAAATTGAATAATGCCTGTGGTCAAAAGGATAAAGAATACTGCCCCATCACTTATTAGAGGGATGAACAGTTTCCCTTGTGGGTTTCAGTGGGGTGCCTCATTGTTGGTATCAGTGGGAGGAATAGTGCTTCATCTGTGTCAGTTGGAGGAATGGGGCACCATTGTTAGGATCAATGGGAGGAATATTGTCCATTGTTGATGTCAATAGAATGAATAATGCCCCACTGTTGGATGGGAGGAATAATGCCCCACTGTTGGATGGGAGGAATAATGCCCCACTCACTGTTGGTGTAAGTGAAAAGAATGGTGTCTCATTGTTTGTGTCAGTGGAAGGAATAGTGCTCCAAGGGCTGGATAAAGGCAAGCAAAAGGCCGCATCTGTCCCATGGACCACAATTTTTCAGACCTCAAAGAAAAAAAGTGCATTGCCCAGACTCATGACTGACAAAGACTTATCTACACAGACTTTAGCTAGCCACACACTTGTGGAATTTTGTGTAAACATTTTGGTTTTCTAATGGTTAGTGGAGTTGCGATAACTCAATAACTGTGTCAGTTTAGAAAACTCGGTCATGTATTAGACTAGGTTCACATACACTTATGGACTTTTGTGTAAAAATGTTGGTTTTCTAATGGTTAGTGGAGTCAAACTAATCTTCACTTCCAACCCTGGTGACAAAAAATTTGAATTCAAAATCGAAGGAACAACATTTTAAGTGAATGTGGGGAAAAAATGTATGAAAAATAATACATATTGTGATCAAATCTGCTTGATATGTCTGTGGTTACATTTAAATAGCAGATCCGGATGAAATTCTAAGGGCTTTCAAACGAAATTAGCTAATGAAATTAGATTTAATGATGGTGAGAGAGAGATATTTTTAAAGTCTAGTACACACGATCAGAAAATCGGATGAAAAATACCACTTTCTAAGCAATTGTACAAAATCTGATCGTTAGTGCACAGCTTTCATCCAAAATTATTTGAAGGGACAAGCACGATACCAGATCATATGATTTTTGTTTAATCAGTACAGTTTTTGCCCAAAAATACAATACAAATACATTACATCACTTCTGATGTAATAATATCAAAATATTCTGCCAAGAATTTTCATACAAAACGTGACATTCAACTTGTATATGGCCAGCTTTAGTTAGGATCATTAATCATGGATTCAATAGATTTAAATTTTTTTCTTTCATACTATCCCTATAAATCTTTAAGATTAACCATAAAGATTTTGTAGCAATCCCTTCAAGCGGTCATACATAATTATTCAGCATGAAAATGTAATTTGTCACTACTGGGTTAACAAAACAAATGAGCTCAAGCCTTAGCCAAATTAGCATTTTCAAGTTCCATGTTTGTGCATAATTTATCACTATGAATCTAGAAAGAAAAAAGTAAATAACATTTATGTTTTTTTTTATGTTTTATTCTTGCTGAGCAGAAAAATGAAAAGCTATGTAGCAGCTCTGAAAAACCCCTGAAGTCAGCAATGTATCTAAAATATTGCAGCTGGTGACTGTTTCAGCTTGTTCTATCATTGTTAGTAAGGGCAAATGTTCCTACAGGCTCCAAGATTTCACTGACTGGTGAAGGCATTCTATATTAATTAGTTAACGCCTGATTTGCATCTTAGCAACTGTACTACCAAATGGAGAGCAGATTTTATATTGCAAAATATGACATTCAAATATTCAACTTAGAAACATTTATTTAAAGAATAATTCCAGATTCAGCAAGAAACAACAAATATCTGCATGGCCATACTTTACATTTGTGCAAATACGAGGGGTGTTCAAGTCAAACTGAGACTTTTAATTTTACTGGTATAGAAAGGGATGCTAGCGTGGCGGTACTACACGCAGTAGCATGTGGAAAGTTTGTTCTATTACTGATAGGCTGCAGACATGTCGCGGGCCAGTTCAGAGACCGCTAATCAAGATGGCAGATGTGCGTGCATGGAACAGCATGTGGTGATGAAGTTTCTTGTGAACGAAAGTGTAAAACCCGCAGATATCTACTGAAGACTTCAAGCATAGTACGGTGATGAGCTGCTGAGCCACAGTAAGACATTTGAATGGTATAAACGTATCAAAAATGGTGTCAGTAACAATCCCAGCCCACATCAGTCATTCCTGTGAACATTCGGTGTGTGGAACGCCTCAACCTGGATAATCGCAGCATAACCTGTTGTGAAACTGCACAAGAGATCATTCTTTCTGTAGAAACGGTGAACACAATCATTCATGAATGTCCTAGGATGATTCAGGTGTACTGATAAATCTTTCTATGCAGAAGCTTTTCAGGCATTAGTTAAATGCTGGGATAAGTTTATAAATGTAGCAGGGGAGTATATAGAAAAATAAATGCAGTTTCCACTCCTTGAAATTTGTTCTTTTATTATATAAACGAAAAAGTCCCGGCTTGACTTGAACGCCCCTCATATATTGCATTAAAAATTCTTTGTACCTCCTGAGATCTCAGTTCTCAATATACTAATGAGCTCCCTGGCCAATCTGATAACCAAAATATTTGTCAGCATATAGTTCAAGGTGGAGTTGAAGAAAGGGGGCTATGGAAGTGCCAGCATCCCAGTCTCTCCAGGACCCTGGTCCCAAATCTGTGGCTTGGGGGGAGGGGTGGTGAATTTGGCAGCTGACAATTATTGTGCAGCTTTGGGGGCCCCTACAGACACTTTTCCGAACTTATATACTTACAGTGGGGATCAAAAGTTTGGGCACCCCAGCTAAAAATTTGTATTAATGTGCATAAAGAAGCCAAGGAAAGATGGAAAAATCTCCAAAAGGCATCAAATTACAGATTAGACATTCTTATAATATGTCAACAAAAGTTAGATTTTATTTCTATCATTTACACTTTCAAAATAACAGAAAACAAAAAAATGGCGTCTGCAAAAGTTTGGGCACCCTGCAGAATTTATAGCATGCACTGCCCCCTTTGCCAAGCTGAGACCTGCCAGTGTCATGGATTGTTCTCAATCATCGTCTGGGAAGACCAGGTTATGTCAATCTCAAAGGTTTTAAATGTCCAGACTCATCTGACCTTGCCCCAACAATCAGCACCATGGGTTCTTCTAAGCAGTTGTCTAGAAAACTGAAACTGAAAATAGTTGACGCTCACAAAGCTGGAGAAGGCTATAAGAAGATAGCAAAGCGTTTTCAGATGTCAATATCCTCTGTTCAGAATGTAATTAAGAAATGGCAGTCATCAGGAACAGTGGAAGTTAAAGCAAGATCTGGAAGACCAAGAAAAATATCAGACAGAACAGCTCGCAGGATTGTGAGAAAAACAATTCAAAACCCACGTTTGACTGCATGATCCCTCCAGAAAGATCTGGCAGACACTGGAGTTGTGATACACTATTCCACTATAAAGAGATACTTGTACAAATATGGTCTTCATGGAAGAGTCATCAGAAGAAAACCTCTTCTACGTCCTCACCACAAAAATCATCGTTTGAACTTTGCAAATGAACATATAGACAAGACTGATGCATTTTGGAAACAAGTTCTGTGGACCGATGAGGTTAAAATTGAACTTTTTGGCCGGAATGAGCAAAGGTATGTTTGGAGAAGAAGGGGCACAGAATTTAATGAAAAGAACCTCTGTCCAACTGTTAAGCATGGGGTTGGATCAATCATGCTTTGGGGTTGTGTTGCAGCCAGTGGCACAGGGAACATCTCACGAGTAGAAGGAAAAATGGATTCAATAAAATTTCAGCAAATTTTGGATGGTAACTTGATGCCATCTGTGAAAAAGCTGAAGTTAAAGAGAGGATGGCTTCTACAAATGGATAATGATCCTAAACACACCTCGAAATCCATGGGGGATTACATCAAGAGGCATAAACTGAGGGTTTTGCCATGGCCTTCACAATCTCCTGACCTCAACATAATTGAAAATCTATAGATAGACCTTAAAAAAGAGCAGTGCGTGACAGACAGCCCAGAAATCTCAAAGAACTGGAAGACTTTTGTAAGGAAGAATGGGCAAAGATACCTCAAACAAGAATTGAAAGACTCTTGGCTGGCTACAAAAAGCGTTTACAAGCTGTGATGCTTGCCAAAGGGGGCAGTACAAGATATTAACTCTGCAGGGTGCCCAAACTTTTGCAGACGCCATTTTTTTTGTTTTCTGTTATTTTGAAAGTGTAAATGATGGAAATAAAATCTAACTTTTGTTGACATATATTATAAGAATGTCTAATCTGTAATTTGATGCCTTTTGGAGATTTTTCCATCTTTCCTTGGCTTCTTTATGCACATTAATACAAATTTTGTAGCTGGGGTGCCCAAACTTTCGATCCCCACTGTAGCTGTGATATGTAAAGGAGCAGGGAGAGCAGTGATCTCTAGCAGTATTTTGGTACCTGTCTCCAGGCTATGTCTCATGAAGCATGTCCTAAGTCACCAACAACTCCTACTGCATGATTGCAATCTCTGGACATCTCCTGTAGCATGTCTGCAGTCTCTGACCATCTCTTGTAGCTTTTATGCAGTCTCTGACCATCTCTTGTAGATTCTCTGCAGTCTCTGACCATCTCATG